AAGATCGAACTTGAAATATATGTGTATTGTAGTTATGTTTTACATCAAATTCGATTTGATCTTATTCAAAATCCTTGAAAAGGTCTTTCAGCTAAATACGTGTGTATACATTTGTGGTTTTACATTTCTTTTATTTCAGATGACTGAACAAGATGAAAAATACGCATCAACTTTATCCAGTTCAGGACCCTCAAAGTGACCAATTGTGCATTTAAATATCGTTCAAGTTATGTTTTGTATAACTGTATTGATAATTGTTGTGTACATGCACCTATGATAACTCTTCAGGATAATTTTGTACATATTTGTACCTTATAGTAATATATTTTTATGGCAAATAAAACAGGAACGATCAAATGTCATATGTACCGGTAATTATTTGTTTCCTTGAAAAACATATTTTTGGAGCAATTAAAATGCCAAAGTTTGAAGCAAGGTTTATAGTTTATGATTTATAAAATGTTGCATATTTAATGTTAAAATTCGAAGTTCCAAACTGTTAAAAGGTATTGGAAAATGGAACAATTTATATTTTAAATCTAATCGAAGGGTTTTTCTTTCGAAATATGTTCCGCAAAAAAAAAAAAAATACAAACTATATCAAATTAGTGTGTCCTTGGTAAATTTGTATAGTACATTTTTTTTTCAGTTCTAAATTCTTTTGATAAAATAATCAAATAGTTTTAATATTCAGACTGAAACTAAGTATTTGTCACATTTTATCTTTCCCAGTTATTCAACTGATGAAATAAGGAGATATGATTGCCAGTGAGACAGCTATCTACTACAGTTGTCTTTTTGCCATTTTCACAACAGTAACCTTTTATAGTGAATAAGGTTCATTGTGACATATAGGAACAATCTGCTGTATCCACATTTTTATATGGTACAAGTGTTGAAGAAAACAAGTGCTTCTGGTTCCAAAGGTTGAGAAGAACATGCTATTATGGCATATAATAACAATAAGACGATGTTGTATGATCCACTACCAGAGGCGTTAACAACTATTGTCGAGGAAAGTAATGGCTACATAATTTAAAGAACTTGTCGCCATCAAGTACATCATTTATGACAAAATTGTAAAACAAAATTGTATATACATATGTATTAGAAAGGCAGTTTTAATATTTTCTTGAGATGCACTATCTCACCCATGCACTATAATGATGTAAAGACCCATGAACATGATTTTAATTTAGACCATGACATGTAAATGTCATTAAAATCAATTAAAAAAAACCTAAAAAACTGTCAAGAATTAAACAAAAAATGTGCGTTATACATGTTTTGGGGAAAATCTGTGTTTCAACATGTGTCCTTCTTTGGCCTTATTGATAACAACACAGTACACAGTTATATTGTTCCTTGGTGTGTATCAATCTGTCTAATGATTAGGTAAAATATATGGTGTATAAATGAACACATTGATGTCAATGCTCTTATGTAAAGTTGGCCTTGGTAAAAGGATATGCAATTTCCATCTCCCTCCCACAATGGACCATAGGGCTCGTATTATAGATGTGTTTAAGGTGGATATATATGCAATTCGACTGGTATGCGTTCTACATTGTGTCTATAGCGGACAATGTAGAACGCATACCAGTCGACTGCATATATTCCGCCCCAAAAACTTTTATGATACGAGCCCCTATGCTTGGACAAAATCTATGGTCATGGCACATGTCAGTTCAAAATATATTAGGCTAAGAGTTGGGGACCTAAACAAATTCTTATATAATTAACGAGATGAAGAGCAGGGCATGACTCCAAGCAAAAGAAATCATTTGCGTACTGAAACAGAATTGTCATGGAATCTGATAATATATACAGTTTAGAGTTGAAGATGTGAATTGTTTTCAAGATCTTTTAAGTTTAACAATAACTGATATAAATGAAGCAAGGCATGTCACTGAGGTACAAAACTATGGTGAACTAGAATGGTTTTATCAAGGCAAATAAGACTATAAATGGTGAAAGGAGGGATATCTCTACCATTTTAGAGATATTTACTGATTTACTTTATTAGGGGAAGAGGCATAATCTGCTGGTACACATTTTAGTTGCATTGAAATGGTCTTGTAATGGCAAGCAAGAACATACTGTTGATTCAGAAATGTTTGCAATCAGTGATGTGTTATTTTAACAGGGTTTATCTTCAGGGATGTTTGGATTGACAGGGGTTAATTTTTGTCATTGTGTGAATCTATGATTCGTAATCAGTTCTGAATTGATACAGTTTCATAATTAATGTTTAGTGAAGTAATGATGATTCATAATCTGTAATGTTGAAATTAGAAAGGATTTACCATCTGTGGTGTGTGAATGTAAAAGGGTTCACCATCCGTAGTGTGAATTCATGAGAAATTATAATCACTAGTGTGTACACAAATGAGGTTCGACATCAATAGAGTGCGAATGTATTAGGACTCATCCTCAGTGAAGTATTAATTTATCAGAATTCATCATCAGCGGTGTTTGAATTTATCATGATTCAAAATCCGTGAAATGTTATCTAATCTGCTTTCATAATCAGTGTTGTGTGAATTTATCAGGATCCTTTTCAGTAGTCAGTGATGATTCATCATCAGTGAAGTGTGATTTTACACGGATCCTCGTGAGTTGTCTGTGAATTGTTGAGGATTCATCATCAGTGACGTGTGAATTTATCCTGATCCTCGTCAGCAGTCTGTAAATTGGTGAGGATTCACTATCAACGCAGTGTGAATTCATCATCAGTGAAGTGAGAATTTATCTTGATTCAACATCAGTGAAGTGTGAAAGAATAAAGATTCATATCAGTAAAGTGTGAATGTATGCGGATTCATCACCAGTGATGTGTTCATTCATCAAGATTCGACATTATCGAATTGTGAATTGACGAAGATGCATTATATGCGTTGTGTGAGTTTATCATAAAAAAGTATGAATTCTTCACGATTAGTAGTTAGTAGTGCATGAGTTTATCAGGATATATCAATGGTTAATGGGTTGAGTAGGGTTCATAATTAGTGATGAAATTCCTTGAATTTTATCGGGATTCACCATCGGTGGTCTGTGAAATTAATTAGGCTCCACAATCAGTTGCGCGTGACTTAAGGAGGAATCATCAGCATTGGTGTGTTAAGAAGATTGATTATCAGTGGTGTGTATATCATAGAACTTTGCTGATAAAGGGTCAGTGAATTTAAATAGGCTTCACCCTGATGGTGTATAAATGTATCAATTAATGATGTATGGATGGATCAGGATACCTCAGCAATTATGAATGAATTAATGAGGATTAATAATCAGTGAAGTAGAATTTTATTATAATTCATCACCAGTGCAGTTTGAATTGATGAGGATTGATAATACAAAATACATTAATTTATCAGCATGCATCATCAGTTGCGTGTGAATTTAACATGATACATCAGTGGTGTTAGTTTATTGAGGTTCACCATCAACATGACCAATGGTGTGTTATATATGAGAATTCATTATAAGAGAAGTGTGAATGTACGAGGATTTTTCATCAGTGAAGTGTGAATGTTAATTTCAATTTCAGGTTGTGTGTGAATTAAATTGACTTTACCATAGGAGTATTGTTAATTTCAATTTGACTTAAACCTGAGTGGTGAACACTCATCAGCAGTGATGTTTGATTTTATGGGGATTCATACAGTGGTAAGTACATTTATAAAGAATCATTACCAGTTGTGTGTATATTGATGAGAATTCTTCATCAGTGAATTGGTAATGTATAAGGAGTCAGTGTCAGCGTAAATTTTTTTCAGAACTGTTAAAAAATGATATTAATGGATTCAGAAGGACGACATGAAAACAAAAAATGTGATCCAACTTTATATAATTCTAAAATGTCTTTGATATGATTAACATTTAATTGACATAAGATGTGTTGAATTAATATTATTTGCATTAAAATGTTGACACAACATTTCATCATCAAATTCTTAGTAGCAAGTAAAATCAGATGCTTACAAAATTATGTTTACGTCAGAAAACTAAATAGGTATCTGATTAAGTACGATGAGATACGTAGAAATAAGATAAAACTTGTTATTATTGTTACTCATATCGGTTGTCCTCTAAACAAGCAAACAAAATGCTTCCAAATTATGTTGATGACATAAACCTTAAGAAGTCATACCTGGAAAAACCAGGCAGAATTTGAAAATCTTGTTCAACAAACATTTTTGGAAAAAAATGTCTGATTGCATTGTTTACACTTTGTTTGAGGAAAATGTCATTTCTAATAGTCATCTTCGGTTATTATAATTGGAAAATTGAGTTTTCGGTTAATATCAGATATTATTTTCTCATCAAAACAGACTACAATAAAAAAAACAAGAGTGCACACGCTGAAATGTCTCGCCTTCTTTACTAATCATTGATATTATGTTGATAGTCCTAAATATAAAGCTTTATTACAACTGTCACATAAACTTAACATTAACCAAGTAAACTAAACATTGACCAATGAACCATGAAAATGAGGTCAAGGTCAAATGAACCATGCTAGGCAGGCATGTACAGCTAACAATTCTTCCATACAACAAATATAGTTGACCTATTGCTTATAGTTTAAGAAAAACAGACCAAAACACAAAAACTTAACACTGAGCAATGAACCTTGAAAATGAGGTCAAGGTCAAATAAAACCTGCGTGACTGCCAAATAGATCTTAAAATATTTCCATACACCAAATATAGTTGAACTATTGCATATAGTATTAGAAAAAAAGACCAAAACTCAAAAAACTTAACTTTGACCACTGAACCATGAAAATGAGGTCATGGTCAGATGACACCTGCCCGCTAGACATGTGTACCTTACAATCATTCCATACACCAAATATAGTAGACCTATGGCATACAGTATAAGAAAAACAGACCAAAACACAAAAACTTAACTATAACCACTGAACCATGAAAATGAGGTCAAGGTCAGATGACAACTGCCAGTTGGACATGTACACCTTACAGTCCTTCCATACACCGAATATACAAGACCTATTGCTTATAGTATCTGAGATATGGACTTGACCACCAAAACTTAACCTTGTTCACTGATCCATAAAATGAGGTCGAGGTCAAGTGAAAACTGTCTGACGGGCATGAGGACCTTGCAAGGTACGCACATACCGAATATAGTTGCACTATTGCATATAGTATTAGAAAAAAAGACCAAAACTCAAAAACTTAACTTTGACCACTGAACCATGAAAATGAGGTCAAGGTCAGATGAAACCTGCCTGCTAGACATGTACACCTTACAATCATTCCATACACCAAATAAAGTAGACCTATGGCATACAGTATAAGAAAAACAGACCAAAACACAAAAACTTAACTATAACCACTGAACCATAAAAATGAGGTCAAGGTCAGATGACACCTGCCAGTTGGACATGTACACCTTACAGTCCATCCATACACCGAATATACAAGACCTATTGCTTATAGTATCTGAGATATGGACTTGACCACCAAAACTTAACCTTGTTCACTGATCCATGAAATGAGGTTGAGGTCAAGTGAAAACTGTCTGACGGGCATGAGGACCTTGCAAGGTACGCAATACCAAATATATTTATCCTATTACTTATAATAAGAGAGAATCTAACATTACAAAAAATCTTAACTTTTTTTTCAAGTAGTCACTGAACCATGAAAATGAGGTCAAGGACATTGGACATGTGACTGACGGAAACTTCGTAACATGAGGCATCCATATACAAAGTATGAAGCATACAGACCTTCCACCTTCTAAAATATAATGCTTTTAAGAAGTTAACTAACGCCGCCGCCGCCGCCGCCGCCGCCGGATCACTATCCCTATGTCGAGCTTTCTGCGACAAAAGTCGCAGGCTCGACAATAATACATATTCTAAAAGATAACGATGAGTACATCATGAAACGATCATAACATCTCAGGTATTTGTGCATATGTAAATTATCGTATGCATTAAATCGTATGAAAATGGTAGTTTGTTTTCAATTGTATTAAGGCATACTAACAATGATGCTCTTCAATTTAAAGACCATTAAAGGTTGTTATGTTTTGATGTAAACATGGTAAAAATGAATCTATGTTGCTTATTTTGATATATATTTAAACATCTTTTTAAGTTTAAAAGTTGTTTGCTGTTGGGAAACGCATTTCCAGACAAGGAAATTGTAGAAGGAGATTGTAGCATGTCTGCAGGTGATAATGAAATCCTAGAAACTTTGACACATTCTGTACAGGATTATTTACAAAGGTAAATCATTCATTATTGAGGGATTCTAAATCATAAAACCAAATCTTGTTGGCTTGTAATGACGACAATGAACTAGTATCCAATGAAAGAAGAAAACAGTTGCTTAAACAGAAGCAAGACAATCTGCTTTCTAAGCAAAAGAAGTCTGTTAAAATTGTTGTTGAAGAATAATATTTAGTTCAATGCCTTAATGTCTCGAGTTAATATTTAAGCTGTTATTTCTGTTATCTATAAAATTAGGAGATGTGGTATTATTTCCAATGAGAAAACTTACAAGAGACCAAAGGAGCATGTCAGATTATCATAGATGCTATCAACATTGATAGATATCGACTGATTATGCCATAACTTCTTTATTTATTGGTATCAAAATGCAATTGTGGCATTTTTTCACTGGTATTTCTGTCTTATTTAATAAGTTTGTATTGGCTTATTAAAAGACAATTATATTCACTACCATTGATAGATACCTTTGAAGCCTAGTTTTTGTTCTTTCTGATTTTGAAGCACCCAATGCAATCGAGTCAACATGTCATACGTGTCTTAAAACTTGTAGAATATTAATGAATACATATTGCTGTCCAGATAAAATATGAATTTTCAATTATTACTTTTTCCTTTTACATTAAATGGCCATGGTAACAAAGAAAAAAACAAACATTTACTTATTTTTTCAGTTATATAATCATTTTGCATTCACAAGATATTCGAAATAATATCATATGAAAGATAAAATTAGTTTAAATCAAAAAGTTTGAAAAAAGTAAAATTCCATAGATTTCTTTATAAAATGAAAACAATTTTTATACAATCTATAGTGAAAAAACAACAAAAATATATTTTTAATAAACATATTTGAATTGGGACTTTGAATGTTTCACATTTAATAAAAATACTTTAACTGATACCGGTTATATAAAATTTGAGGCAAAAGGAATCATGTAAATGATGGCTTTATGTCAAAAAATGTCAATTTTGCATGTCTAAAAGTGTAGATTTTTGGCAAACAAAGGTATAAGTTTAACTTTTGAGACTTCAGATTTAATTCATCATAAATGTTTTATCCGAGAAACTTCAGAATTTTGGGTATCTATCTAGCCACGTGCAAAAACAGTACAAATGTTCTATATATATGACCTATGATTGAAGAATAGTATATATCCTACAATTGGACATCTGTCAAATCGATTAAATAATCCCAAAATGCCTTTAATCTTATCATCTCAAAATTGCTCTGTACTTTTCATTTTTTGTCCAAATTAAACAATCTAAAGTGATTTTGTCATGGAAAAATAATCTTATAACTTAATGCTGACAATCTTTTTTTATAACTGTTTATAATTATTTCCTTACTATCCCTAACATGAGTCCTGCAAAAGTAGGATCGAATTTGAAATCCATGTGTATTGTAGTCATGTTTTACAAACAAACAAAAACATGATCTTATTCAAAATTCTTGAAAAGGTTTTTCAGCAAAAGACTTTTGTATACATCTATAGCTTAATTTGTTTTTATTTCAGATGACTGAACACGATGAATAAAACCCGAATAAAACTGTAGCCAATCTAGGACTATGAAAATGACCAATAACATTTCAATATCTTTCAAATTATGGTTTGTGTCCAAAAAAAGTAGGAACGATCAAATATCATATTTACCGGTAATTATTTGTTTCCTTAAACACCAAATTTTTTGGAGCAATTAAAATGCCAAGGTTTGAAGCAAGATTTATATTTTATAATTCATAAAACGGCGTATATTTGGTTTTAAAAGTTCAAAATTTTCAAAATGTATTTGAAAATGGAACAATATATATTTACAAACTAATAAAAGAAAAAAAAATGAAAAACAATATAAGGTTTTTCCTTAAAAATATGTCTAGCCAAAAAAAAAAAAAAAATGACACACTATATATCAATTTGGTGTGTGTTTGGTAATTTTGTATAGTACTAAATTCTATTGATCAAATAAACAAATAGTTATAATATTCAGACTTAAACCAAGTATTTGTCATATTTTATGTTGCCCAGTTATCTATCTTATGAAATAAAGAGTTGTGATATGTTTCCCAGTGATACAGCTATCTACCACAGTTTTCGTTGTGCCATGTTCACATCAGTAACTTTTTAGATTTTAGAGTGAATCAGGGTCATTGTGACTTAAGGCAACAATCTGCTGTAGCCACACTCTGATTTGTATATGGTCCAAGTGTTGCGGATAAAAAGTGCTTCTGGTTCCAATGGATTAGAAGAACCGATTATCATGGCAGATAATAAAATTAAAAGATGTGGTATGATTACAATGAGAATACTATCCGCCATCAGAGACGTTAACAACTGTATGTCACTGTTCGGCCTTCAACAAAGTCATATACCCTTACGGCATAGAATGGTGTTGTCATGGAGAGTATTTTTTTACAACTTGTCGCCATTCAGTACATCATATATGACTTAATTGTAAAAACAAATGTGTATACTTATGTATTAATATGGCAATTTTAATTGTTGCCCTCTGCATAGTCTTGAAATGCACTAGCAAAGAAGAGGTAAAGTCACAGGAAATGATTTTAGTTAAGACCACATGTGAGTGTTTTTAAAATCATTAATAAACAAATTAACAAGTCTGTCAAGAGTTAAACAAAAAAGATGCATTAAGATTTATTTTCTTGGGAAAATCTGTGTTTCGACATGTATTGTTAAAGGTCATAATTTATAACAATACAGTACAAAGTTATACGGTCCACGAAGTTTATCAATCTGTCTTATAATTAGGTAAACACTAGTTTACTAATGAACACATTGGTTTCAGTGCTCTTAACTAAAGAAGCCCTTGGTCAAAGGTTTGACATTTTCTCTCTCCCTCCCACAAAGGACTACAGGGGCTCGATCATGTTAAGGGGTGGGGATCTTAACATATTTTGATATAATTAATGTGATGAAGAGCAGGGGCATGACTTCAAGCGAAAGAAATCATTTGCGTACTGAAACAGAATTGTCATGGCAATTGATAATATATACAGTTTAGAGTTGAGGATGTGAATAGTTTTCAAGATCTTTTAAGTTATATATGATATAAATCGAGCGAGGCATGTCACGGAGGGACACAACTATGTTGCACTAGACAGGTTTTATCAAGTTAAATACGACTGTGAATGGTTAAAGGAAGGAGATCTGTACCATTTTTGATATATTTACTGATTTACTTTATTAGGGGGCGGGGCATGATCTGAAGATACAATTTTTTTTTAAGTTGCAATGAAATGGTCAAGCAAGCACATACTGTTAATTCAGAAATGTTTGTAATCAGATATGTGTGATTTAAACAGGGTTCATCTTCAGGGATGTTTGTATTTAAAGGGGTTCATCAATGTCGATGCGGGAATCTAAGATGATTCGTAATCAGCTCTGAAATGATACAGTTTCATAATTATTATTGTGTGAAGTAACGAGGATTCATCTGTTTGATGTGTAAATTAGTAAGGATTCACTATCGGGGGGGGGGGGGGGGGGGTGTGAATTAAAAAGGATTCACCATCCGTATCGTGAATTAATGAGGAATTATAATCAGTGGTGTGTAAACCAATGATGTTTCAACCAATGAAATGTAAATTTATTAGGATTCACCATCAGTGAAGTGTGAATTATTAAAAATTCATAATCTGCAGTAATTAAATTTATAATGATGCACAATCAGTAAAATGTTACTATATCTGCATTCTTAATCAGTGTTGTGTGAATTTATCCGGATCCTTGTCAGTAATTCTGTGAATTGGTGAGGATTTGTCATCATAAAAGTGTGAATGCATCATCAGAAAAGTCAGAATTTATGTTGATACATCATCAGTGAAGTGTGAAAGAATGAAGATTCTTATCAGTGAAGTTTGAATATATGAGGATTCATCATTAGTGATGTGTTAATTCATCAAGATTCGCCATTTTCGAATAGTGAATGGACGAAGATGAATTATCAG